TGCTGTTAAAGAGAGTGAGGTAGCCCCTAGGTTGGTTAGGACACTGGACGGTCGATGCCGATGGAGAGACGTTCAGTTCTCCTCCTGGGTCAGGTCACCAGAGCTGCGCGATCATTGAAGCCTAAGGTTAAGCTTGGGTTTAGGCTCAGGCTTATGCTTACACATTGGCTTATGCTTAAGCCTATGATTGGGCCTAGGCTTAGTCCTAAGCTTGCTTCAAGCAATGGTGTCTCAGTTTTAGGTGATCTGACCTGAGGAGGAGAACTTCAACGCACCCATGCCGTTGCCATTCCCACGCCACCGCAAGGCGACGAATGGGATTGGTGAATTTTGATGAGATCAACGCAGCAAAAAAATTAAGGAAAAGGCCATGCCGAGATCAAGCGACAGTCAAATGATGTTTCGTCTAACTGTTTGCTATTTGTTTCACAAGAATGCTGGGTTGTGAACAAAACTTTCGCCCCAGGCGGGACTAGAACCCGCACCTCTCGCTTTCCGGGCAAGTGCGCTACCAGTTACGCTACCGGGGCACCATTTCATCCAACTGCTATTTATCAAAAAGTATCATACTGTCATACTGTTGTCATACGTTGTTTTTCATACACTCGATATTATTACAAACTGGTTTTGTCGGTCACATTAATGGTTCCAATTCAGGCTGCTAGACTCAAACACTCTCGTGAACTATCGGCTTCTGTGAACGTGCTCAGCCCGGAAGAGGAGCTCAAATCACCTCAAAAGAAGAAATCTAACACTCGTGGTAAATTTAAAAGCATTGCAAATTTTAAAGATTAGTGTGGTCGTTCCATTTGCATTGTGAATTTCTAAGAGTCGGAAAGTCTCGAAGAATCGGAAACCTTTATTCTGTGGGGATACGCAGTAGCTCGCAGTGGGTAGCCCTATTTGAGCAACAAGCGACTTCTCGTTTTTTTTCTCTCAATTGAGGCTCCGGTACAGAAAATATGATTTCTTATAAATGTGTGACGATCCCTCCATGTCGGAGATATCGATGGAGAGTAGAGAGTCGCTAATCAAACTAACTAAAGTGTTGGGATACGTTTTGCCTGGCAGCTCTCGCTCGTGGCATTCTTCAACTGTTATTCCACTGCTACAATTCGAAGAAAACATGTAAAAAAACAGGGAAAATTCAAGCTCTGTTTGATGTTCCTGACGCTGTATCAACCGAAGAAGGCTGCAGATCGAATTTCCTGTATGAGCCCCACCCTTCCACAGTTGTCATAATTATCCCTCTTGCTCGTCGTGTCGACCTACCCCGTAAATTAGTAACCCACGCGGCAACAGATAGTATCAAGAGCATTAAAAAACACGCATGATCATTCCCAAGTCCCTACGTGTGCTATTACGCATCATCTTACGGCTTGATATAGGACGCAGTCTATGGTTCGTAAAGAAGTAAAAGAGATTTTTAAGGACCGGCAGCTCGACGTGCAGGTCGGCGTAGTGCTCTGCTGAAGTGGCAAGCGGCAAGCGTCAACTACAACTTGGATAACTGAAGAGCGACGGAAGCAGTCCCAGGTAGAGGAACACTTGTATGTAGTGCAGATGTGGAAAGCTCGGTGAGTCGGTGGAATCGCCAGCTACATGCAGAACATTCTTGAGCCTGCCTCGCGTTGTCGTTCGTTTTGGCATTTTTTGGAATACCTCGCCTCTTTTGAAGAGCGTCTCCTGGACATTTGGTGGTGTGAGGGTCTATAGGAGACGTAAGAGGTATCGTGACATCTACTTTAAATGGAGTCGGTGCGTTGTGGTGACTTTAGTGAAGGTTGGGTTTCAGAAGATGGCGAGACGAAACGAGGGGCGTGCTTTGGATTGGCCAACCAAACCATCTCTTTTAGAAGTGCAGACGGGGCTCGTATTTTGGGCTGCGTGAGAGGGGTCGGTTTGAGAGGTTTTATGAACGAAGGTGTGGTGGGATTTTTTCGAAGGAATAATGAGATAGTTAAACGTCAGAAGCATCGATGTTTCTTCCCCCTTTCCATCCTTTCTCCTTCTCCGCAGGACGGCTGTTTTGGAGTAGTGTGGGCGGAGTTTGACGTTTCGACTGGTCCCAGAATTACGTATAGGAAGCCACGATGGAGATAATGGGAGTTAGTGAGGTCGTATTAGGGAACTCGGGCAAATGTAGTTCGGGGGCCCCTAACTCTATCGCGGTGTATTTGGCGAAAGAAAAACATTATCAATCAAGTTAGAGCTGCGGCAGCCTTATATCTTATCATATATTTCACTGAGACCGTGGCCTACGACTAGTACGTTTACCCTTGTCATATTATTCTATGGCTAAAATGGCTGCTACCTTGCTGGCTCTTCACTTTCCCTTCTTGCGACTGCCATGCGAGCCCTCGAAGAGAGGACCTTTCAGGTATCCGATTTTGTATGGAATCTCGAGTTGGTATCCCTATCTAATCATACATTCAGAGACTGTGTCTGGATGGTGATTAGATATGACCGCCCTTCCGCAGCTCCACTTTGATTAGATATTGTCAGTTCGATTAGATATTATGAGTGGCCCCCTCAAACTACATTTTCACCCGGGAACCTTTCCCTCCCTATAACACCGGGAACCTCCTCCCTACAAGGATGATGCTGATGGGGATCGTACCAAGACCGGGTTTAGCAACCCTTTTCCCAGGAGTACCCCCTCGCTGGAAGGTTATAAACCTTTTTGAATCAATAACGATGGTAGGGTTCACCCTGCATACAGGGTGCAGAATTCGCAGAGATTTGCAAATGTTCCGAGTGCTACATGCTCCTACCTTTTCATGATTGAGTGAGGGATACGTAATTCATTCAACGAACGCCATAGAGAAACATACACGACGTTTTGTGTGCGACCTCTGAGTAAATGATTAATTACCTGGTCCGAATTCCTGCTAATAGTAAATGTTCAGGCTTGAGAAACGCTCAATGAGTGTGCGAGATTTGAACGGCGAGGAGTTCGACTTCTCCAACAAGGATTCTGTCACCAGGTATGACGTTCGTCTTTCGGAGAAAGCTCTAGCGATATTCTCATGAAAGAGTATGTGAGAAACCACAAAAGAGTTTATGAGAAACCACGAAAAATCACTGCCATCCGGCGCATCGCGATAAGGGTTTCCTTGAACCTTGTTGTTCCGGCCCGAGAATCTTAAGTGTGTAGTACTACCTCTAAATGCAGCTCCCCGTACATAATTTTTGGGTACAAATTTTTTAATAGAAGCTTTGCGAGATTTTGGAAAGGGCGGGGAATCCTGTTAACTGTCTGTCTGTCCGAGTCCGAACCACGGAGGACGTTTTGGGAGTTAGGGAGCGGGGTCGTATTTGGCTGGATGGGATCGTAATTCTGATGTGGAGCATGGATGGAGAAGTTTTTTTTTCGAGCAAGAATCCCAAAAAAGTTATAGTCGTAAGAAATAAAGGAGTTCCGTTCCAGGTGGACATCGCAAATTTTGGCCGAGCTGGACTCGCTGCCGTCCAGTTGTGTCAATTTGACTGAAACGGAGAAAGTCGATGGCCCCCCACTGTTCTTTCGGAAAGTCGATCGGAATGTTGTGAAGGACTCTTATGTGAACGACAATCGAAAGTTCTCTACGGTAAGCGAGCTCTGATCCGCTTATTGAACTATTGTTTTTAGTGGTACAAAAAAGTAAAGTTGCAATTTTCCATAGTGGAGAAAATTCACAGTTGATTTTCGGTCAGATCGAATAGCGATTAAGGATTCCTCATGGGAGTCTTTGAAATTCATGGGAGACCGTAAATAAGCGCTAGCCACCCCCGCGAGGATTTTTAGAGTGGAGTTGGAGCGTGTCACGTCACTTAGCACCAGCATTAACGAGATGTCAGAGCGGGGTGCCTAGGAATACTCTATTGAAACCGCTGACTGAGGACAGTGGCTGTACTGATCCTATGGTGATGGGAGCGGGAGGGGGCATACCAAGACCGTTGAGGAGGGAGAGGTTTGGCAACCAGTAACCTAGATGCGGATGCTATCATGCTGCCTCTCGATTCAGTGCATCACTGCATAGCAGGGTGACATAACGTTCTGATCGGGAAATCCTAGAGCGATGGCTCTTGTACTGAGTTGAATGGTGCGATAGCGCGAGGCAGCAGGTAACGAACAGCTGCGAAAATTCTCGACGAATCGTCGACAAATCCTCGACCGATTTCCACCCTGATTGCAAGTCTCACAGCACCACCATGCCCTGGCCGATACACACTACGATGCTGAACCGCCAGCTTTGTTTCTACCAGTACCTGCGTCAGAACAGTGCTACCGCTTAAAACTTCATGTAGTCATAACAGTAACTGAATAGAGGGGTTCGAAAAGGAAACGGCATGCGCGTATGACCCCTCATGAAGGGAAGAGTAAAAAAAAAAGCCTGTCAAATACTGCCTGATCAAAGCTCACTTTACAACAGTTCTAGAGCACAGTACTAGCCTACGGAGAAGAGAGTGTCGTGCCAGGCGAGAGACTCTGGCGACGAGGGTAAGAGAGAGGATAGGGATTAGTGAGACTCAGATAGGGTCGGGTTACATGGGAGCGTGAAACTACCCATTTTCTGACTCCTAGTATCACCGCTTTTAAATCGCTTTCTGTCGCAATGATGGCATGTGTCGTCTTCTTTAAGAGTAAAGCACCCTTCAAATGTTTGATCATTTTATGAGATTATCGTGGAGGATGCTTTTCGTTAGCGTAACTCAACTAGTATTTGAAAATAGGGCACTATTTCCATTCGTTCTCCGCCAGCGTAAAATACTGTGAACTCAGCTGACTGCCATTTCTGGCTGCGATCACATTTCTTGGATTTTGGATGATTCCTTTTTGGTAGCTCTAATTCGTTACTCTCTATTGAGTAATTAAATAGATAAATAAATAGTAAATAAATATAATAAATTAATATGAATAAATAAATTTCAACTTAACCTGTGTTTTGCGACGAGCAGGTCATAGCTTCTTTTCAGCTGCAGACAACACGCTCGCCATCGAAACCGCCTCCAGTTCCCTACATCGTCAATCGATGTACGAAGCACGTGGATTAAACGATAAACTATCAGCCAGTGGAGATCTGATGACATCATCGGTAATTGAGCCGATGACGACGGCGTTCGGTTCGGCAAAGGTGGACTTGGTAGCATTTCAAAGCTGCCTGAAGACGGCCTTACTACACCAATCGATAACGTGAACTCGTGGATTTCTTCGTTCGAAAATCTTATGACGACGTCTTTTCATGATGTTATGCGCGATTCTGTGTATTCGAACACAAGCGATCGCAGCTCGACGGTGACTAGAGATCGAAAGGTCAGTGGAGGCAAAATTAAACATCCATTTGGCATAGCCTTACGGAGCCGTTTGAAATTAAGGGCGTATTTCTAGTTTTGGTGCATTGTGATGTGGTAAAGCGGCAGTCCTACATAAAATTTTCACGAGCGTCATAGATGGTGAAATTGAGGGGTCATGGTAATGTGAATAATGTAAGGGGCGAGGATTTTGATTTTTGGTGTTTTTTTTGACAGTTTTGACGAAACTCGCGAAAAAGACATGAAATAGGACGGCAGTTTCGGAGAGAGTGGGGGGTCGGTGTTGGAGTGTGTCGACAGGTCTCAGAATCAAAGAGGAAGGGGAGTGATTTCTCCAAGGCTGGGATGTGAAAATGGGTTGCTTCGAGATTCGTTGCCTTATCCAAAGAGCAAAAAATTTGAATTCGGCCATACGCCCAGGGTAGACCGTGAGTGGTTATGGTGCTACTGATTCTGTTGGTTAATTACCGTTTTTCTCCAGGACTCGAACGCGACAACATTGAATGGTCATTTTCGGATTTCGGATGCAGAGGTGCAGCCGTCAGCGGCCTACCCTGTAATCCTTCTGAACAGGCTACGTCTCCCATTTGAAATACCCTCCCTTTCAAAAAACGAGAAGAGCGTCGGGTGCAGACCATACACCACAAGTGACGACGGCCTCCAAGTAAATCTGGTTAGTAGTGGTTCATAGTGATAGCTGATTTTTGGTAAATGATAGTTGTAATTAGTGACAACTGATAGAATACAACTGCAACAGGCTAATCATTTCATTGGCAGAAAACATTTACATTTTGTGGAGGCCGTCGTCACTTGTGGTGTATGGTCTGCACCCGACGCTCTTCTCGTTTTTTTTGAAAGGGAATATAAATAGGCCGCAAATGTAGTTTATATATACACAAGTATGAGAGGTGAACGTGATGTCCGCTATACTTATAAGAAGTTGTGGTGGATTGTCGGGTGTTCAAAATGTTCGTTAGGCGAGGGAAGCTAGCGGCGAGCTTGTTTGCACGAGCGATAAATGGCATGAGATATTAGTTTCTTCTGTTCCTTTGGGAACTTATACGAGGCGATGAGTTATAGGGGATCGCCATGGGCCGATCTATTTTACTTTCCCAACCAGTTCTTGCGCAATTATCTTGTCTTTCGAAGACTTAGCCGCCTCCGCAACAAGTTGTTAAACGCTCTTAGTAATATCATGGCTCTAGGCTTTGGAATAGCAACCATGGCATAATAAGACGGTGGAGAAGAAACTGGAGTCGTGGCGGGAGGGGGGGGGTGGAGGGAGGGGTAAGGACGAAAATTGTATAGAAGAGAACTAGTCATCGCGAAATATCCTGAAATCAGTAATCGTGACTGCAGAAGTTAGAAAACCCTGATACCAAATATTTTTCCGATAGCAAGTCAAACCAAATCTTGCAAATGCGCCTTTTCAGATGTCCGAGACGCCGCCGAGACCCATTCCTGCTCCTCGAGCCCTCGTCGAGCGAAACTGTGAGCCTAGAATCTCGAATGCGACCGCCGTGACTTCAGATTCATCGATCTTCGCGCTGTGGCAGCCCAACCGCAACAATGCTCATAAAACCTCCACCAGCGCCAGTGCAACGTCAGGAACGCGAAATGGTCGTCGTCAGAGTGTCACCAACGGCTGCACGTAAACTCATAGTAACAAAGCATTCACCAGCGGATGCCAGCAACAGGCTCGGCACTTCACTCTCGCGTCTCAGTCAGTCGGTTTATGGGGAGCTGAACGATGAAGCAGGTTCGATTTACCACTTAGCAAAAAACGACAGTATTCACCCTTTACTGCCCCACTCCTCGAAAACTGAGCCGGATTTCAATCGAAACTTGTCCATAACTGAGTGTTCGGCTAGAAAGATGTTTCTGAGGGTATTTCAACCCGCAGAACAGGAATTTCATCAGCTCAGCACCACATGCCAAACGCCTTTAGCGCTGACACTTCTGGTGCGTACGCGTTTTGCAATGAACAAAATCTGGTAGTTTGTGTCTAAGGTAAACCTACCCCTGCGGGTTAACCTTCCAAGGAATTCACAGTCCGTATTGTCTGCTATTTCATGGAAGATGCCTGTTCAGGAAGCTGACAGTAAGGGTAAATAGTATCAAAAAATAACAAAAACTACCAATTTAGCCAAAAATCCTGAGTAAAAGACTAGCCAGGTTGAAGACAAAGCTCGGGATTAGCCCGACTTGTGAAAGGGATACCGCGAGGGAAACTGTGAGGCCCCTACCTACCTAACTATCACTTTCGACCGCAGAATTTGCGCGGGGTAATCCTTACGGCGTGGCAACATTGCCCCGTTGCACGCTTTCCACCACTCGATATTGTGTGCTCCCCGAACGGCGTGATCTCAGGCTGTGTTTGTCTTTCTGTGACGCATCTGTCTTCTTAGTCCACCCCGTTTTTTGAAGCTTGAGGCGTAATTTTAGCTCCCAGAGCTTCCTAACTAGCTTTCGCTTTCCACAGGTTTTTTGTTGTGTTTGTGTGCGTCGGTTTTTTCGTTTTCTTTTTTTGGTTTTTTTTCAGCTATCCCCACGTTTCAATTACCAATACGAAGCGCTTTCATCCAGTTTTATGCAGGCTGTGGCGTGTTAAATTGGCTGGCTCGGTGCGGGGCTGAGGGCTACGCTCCGGCTCCCGTCGCCCTGGTGCGAGGGCGCATGCATTTGAACTACCTTTTTCGACTTCTGAGTAGACCGACAGTGAATAAAAAAGCAAACGACATCACCAGAAATACTGAAATGAAGTGCCTTTTTAAGAAGTAGGAGGAGCATAGGGAAAAACGGCGAGATAAGATGGTATCTTATATCGAAACTTTTCTGTGCATTGGCTGCGGTCTGCGCTTCCTGTGGCACTGTAGATTTGCCAACGGGAATAGTCAGACCTCATTTCTTCAGGTTCGGCTTCCGTCGGGGCTAGTTTCAAAGACATAAATTCTATAATTTGCTAATAGTCATGCTCCGAGCACAAAGTTGTCCCGTTTAGCGAATTATCCGGGTTGTTTTCAAATTTTCTGCAATTGGTAAAAGTTGTGTTTTTGATTTTTGCCAGCACAAAATATATCTGAATTCGTTCCAGCAGTTCCGGTCAAGGGAAAACAATCGGTTCCCATTCCGAGCTATGCCACGCGATCGATGCTTATCTGACAAACGAGTCGATGAAACTGGTAGGAGTAGCAGTGAGCTGGAGAGGTGGAAAAAGAGGGTGCGTTCAGTTCTGTTCCCACTACTTTACCAGTTTTTGCTTGCTTTTGAGAGAGTGTGTGCAAATACATTGTTAAACTGTGTGTAGGCTTTTGTTTGAAGAGCGCTCAGTGACGTCCGGAAATTTACCCAATTTTTTTGTAAACACGCCCGATGCGATGGCCGTATTGTTTGATGTTTCAGCGTTTTATATGATTCGGGATTAGATTTGCATCGAGTTCTAGGGAAAATAAGAGATACAGAGAAGGATCTATATGTGAATTACAAAGGCAACAGACAGCTAAGTTCTCACCGGACCCAAACCAGCTGCATTGCAAAAACAGCGATGGGCTGGGTCAGGAGGCCCACATTGCGGCGGCTCTGCAAAAGCGTGTTTCGCGCGCGACATTGCTGTAAATTCGCATTCCGTCATATCGTTTCTTTTCACTCCGCACAACTGGACATGTGAAAGACTCCTGAATACATTTTTCTTTTTCTTCTTTTGTTTTTAGGCTCTTTTCCGCAGGAATCTGAGTTGCATTTGAATATTTCTCTAAACAGGAGATAGCCAATTGCTCAGGCCATGATAATATTTTCTACTTCTTCTACTAATTTTTAAATAGTGATGAGAACCGCTCAACGTACAGTCTACTCGATGGTCCGGGGGTTTGTTTATCGTACCGACTACGTTAATAATCTACGCAATTTATAGTCGCTCCTCTTTTAAGTCTTTTTGAGCAGTTGACGCTATTAATCTCTCAAGCGAAGACTGGTTCCCCTATCCGTGATGGTTTATGATTAATTTTCCCAGAATCTTCTACACTCACTTGGCCATAAATAGTCCTAGCACTAACTGTAAAGTTGGCTGAGATCGTCCCAGCACCTACATGGCACGGCATAGTCCTCTTTCGAACAATCATAACTTAAGAATCGGGCTGCTGGAGAAGCTGTTAAGCAGCTCATGAGACATAGGAACGGCATTACTGAATGTTTATGTACGTGAAGTAGAAATGGGGAACGAAGTTCCTTGCCACCTGTTACCTTTTTCCTCGGCTTTGTGTGGTCTGAAGAGGCGAAATGGCCTCTTCAAGACGACCCTTTCACACTAATGGGTCTTCACACTGTTTGTCATCCTCCACAGGATCAGCTTGTCTCCACGCTACTGGAACTTCTATGAGCGAGCGCTAGCGAAAAGGTTAGAGCTCAGAAGGTCACTGCGTTGAGGGATTTTTCCGACCATGGAAAATCGTTCTTTCTAAATTATCCCATTTATTTTCAGCCAACCTCGTAATGCTTCCCAGACATGCACTCTTTCTATAAAAAACTTCATGACCTTGGTGAACCGTGCGATAAGATGCGCCGCGCACTCTACTTTGTTTCTAAAACGTATTTACTTGAATGATTCCTGTCCTAGGGATTACTTGAGTAAGGGAATCTGTGTAACCTTGGAATGGAAGCCTAATCTGTGATATACCTTCGCTTGCCTCAAACTAGTTTCACATGCACATAATTCTCTTCACTGCAACTCTGAAGAAAAGCATCGGAACTATATTTTCTTGGCTTTGCTGCCGTTTACTTGGTTCTTGTTCAATAGTAGGTATTCAGATAGCGCGGTATTATCGATTACCGAACATTTTCTGGTACTTCAATATCATTCTCTAGAATATGTGTTTCCTAGTGCAGGACA